TGTATCTTCAACCAAACACTGGTCCCAAAGGTCTAGCAACTGAACGCAATGCAACACAGAGTGGCTGATGCACTTCGCAAGATTGATGTTCCTCATAAAAACGCGTTTGCTACGCGGCGTGGCCAGTGCTGCATCATTTTGCAGTGATCCATTCAGCAGTGTTAGTTCTGTGAGATGATCGAGATCTTTCAAAGTAGAATGATTACGTACATACATTAATCCAGTAGCATCAGATGCCTGCCAACTTCACGCATCAAATATGGTGTTTCGCGGCGTGCGCACTGATGTCTCAAGTGGCAAACGTCCATCTTCTCAGATCTCGCTCGTTCAGCATGGCGACCAACTCTCGCCAGAGACCACATGCTTTGACCTTAAGTCCGAGAGAAAAACAACAGGTTTATGTAAAACCACGGAAGTGGACAACCGCTGCGAAAGCTGATGCAAACTTGATCAAGATCAGGAGCAGCCCATTCCTATCTGATAGAAATGTTCTTAAAGCTTTTGAAATACACTGAGTCAGGACACCATACTGTCCGCAAAGCACACATAACACCTTAGAGGTACCAAATAACGAAATACCAACGCCTCCGAATGTAATGCAACGCCAAAACCCTCAAAACCAACATAGTCTCAAAAACTGACGTAAGTTCCAGCACGGCAGGTCATAGAGCCCAAATGCCAAGTAGCGCCAGGAGCAAGTCGGCTCGTCTGGTGCCGGTGCCGTCGCTCGGCCGTCACCAGGAGGGAGCCGCCCGTTGGGTCCGGCTGGGGGAGCGCACCTGCCCTCGGCACTGGTGCGTGGTTCCCCGCCGCCGCGGCTATCCGGCGCAGGCAGTGACCTCAGGGACGGCGACCCGCCCCGACAGTGAGTCACGCACTCCCGACAGCTGGCGAGTGACGTCGGCCGTCAGCTCCGACCAGGCGGGTGACGTCCACCGTCAGGTCTGACCAGGCGAGTGACGTCGGCCGTCAGCTCTGACCAGGCGGGTGACGTCGGCCGTCAGCTCCGACCAGGCGGGTGACGTCGGCCGTCAGCTCTGACCAGGCGGGTGACGTCGGCCGTCAGCTCCGACCAGGCGGGTGACGTCGGCCGTCAGCTCTGACCAGGCGGGTGACGTCGGCCGTCAGCTCTGACCAGGCAGGACGCCGGAATATGGGAACCGCGGGAGGGTGGCCTGACTCCTGTGGGGCTTGTGGGGCCGAGGAGGGAACCGACGGCTGGAGGACATCAGCTGGGAGATAACACACCGTTGTCCCTAATCCGAGAGGCGGGGAAACGTGATCCCTAAAGCGAGAGACCAGAGAACGCTATCCCCGACGCGAGAGACAGAGAAGGCATCGCCGACCCGTCAGACTACGGGACAGACTCCGTGATCTCGCAGACAGTGGGACGGGCGCTATATTACACCCAACAGATCCAGGAGTGCATATCCGTGGCCAGCAGATCCAGCGGACATATCCGTGAGCGGTAGATCCAGGGATCAGGGTTAGACCCAGGGGACGTTGTCCGTGATCAGCAGATCCAGGGGATATATCCGTGACCGGGACACCAAGATCCATGCGTGGTCAGGGAGACCGATGGCCGCCATGTAGCGCTGGCAGACTAGTGGACGTCGTAGTGGACGCTCAAAACAACAACATAGGTATTTCGGCACGACTTGCGAGACGGTGTGATATCAGCTGAGACAAGAAGTGAAGCCATGTATGAGACAGGTGTTTGAGTTTAATGCTGTGCAACAACTCAAGCCGCTTTTGAGCGTACTGTGTCAACGTTCGAACCAAATATGGGTTTATTTTACTGCTGATGCTTACTTTGTTTACGAATGGGACCAGTCAGAGGGACCACACTGCATCTGGTCGGCAAATGCTTACTATGCTAGCATAAGAGAAGATTGCAGTTTCGTGTTGTGACACTGGTCTAATGAATAATGTAGATATAGCCAGCGGCCGGGCAGTTGCATCAGAAGATCGAATGGCTGCCATCGGCCCATGTCATTTCCAGCACATGGCATGGCGCCTGCCCGCGTGGCTGCGTATAAGCTCATTGGTACTTGACGTCACAGCCCTGTCTAGATTTCAGCGCAGCGTAATCCAAGAACAATGCCTGACAGATGTCCGAACGTCTTGGAGCCGAACACAAACAGGAGCCCGACTTAAAGCTATCAAACATCGCCCCGTGCGATCATCAATCTTCGCCGAGGACGTAAACAGCAAGTGTATTGTCATCGAAAACTCGGAATGAAAGGACCAATGCACCGAATCACAGACGGTTTCGTTTGGATGACCATAACAGAGCGACGTAGAGCGGCTGCAGGCCTCAGGTGGCTATCGGATATTATATAACAGGACCGCACGAGTCTCAGCACGCCCTTAACTGGTGCCCCGCACCGCACCACCCACACGCCTCATTGGGAAAGCATTCTGACAGGTGTGAGCTGTCGCGAGCGATTTGCTGCCAAAATAGTACAGCGGAGCCCAACCTTACTCAAACCGGAGCTGGCGAGCTCTGGCCGGGTGCAATCAGTCAGAATCAGACTCGATATAGGCAAGGCAGACCGGGATCTTTAGCTTTTTCCTCGGCGATGTAAGCAAGCCCTGAGTTGGTGTGGTGAAAATAACGGACCTTCAGTATTCCGGATTGGGTTGAACCAGGATATCCAGAACTCAGTGGATATGTTATGCAAATTTTTCATACGTTGAATAGGTAGGATGTATTATGCGAACGCGGCGTATTGGTATTTTCATAAGATATCCAATGGTATCCTGACATCTCCGTTTTATCACTACCGTCTGGTATTCTGAAGGTCCGCTATTTTCAGCATGAGTGAGACCCACCTGACCTGACTGAGCCTTTTCAAGGACAAGATCGGACGACAGCCCTGATACCAGTCAGGGGATCGGACGACAGCCCTGATACCGGTCAGAGGATCGAACGACAGCCCTGATACCAATCGTGGCATCACAGAAGTGACCGAAACTGCAGTGGAAGCGATCCCGCCTCTCACGACCCGACCAGAAAGATGCTACCGGACGGCTTCCCATCGCTGGTTGCCGCACCAGCGGCCAGGTGGCAGCACGTGCCTCGCCCCAGTTCGCTCCAGGCGCGGGTAGCGCTCGCAACCCTGGATCTCCGCGATAAGCTCGCGATGAGGACACAGCGAGCACTTCCCATATGCTGACCCTGAGTTTATCATGCGTACGGCGTACTGTGAACGCCCTGGCTAGCCGCACGAGGAGGGCGGCGCCGGCGCCTTCCGCCGCCGCGTGACGCGAGCACGTCCCGGATCCGCTCCGCGCGTCCGCACGGGACGTCCGGGGCGGGACGTGGGACGTCTCGCGCGGTTCCGCTGTGAGGGAGATGGGATGCATGGCGCTTGAGTGGACAGAGCGTCTGCTGTCCTCGACCTTCGGAGCTCACCGAGTTTGACAGGAACCCCGCACCTCTGGCGGGGCGGGGCCGTGACCTGGACGGACGGACGGAGCCGAAATTGGACGCCGGCGGGATAGAGCAGCACAGTGCACACCATCTGCTATGCGCATGCACACAAGGTATGCATCTTTGACGACAGCTTTTTTAAAGAAACTTTCTCGGTTTCAATAATTGTATCAGCTGCAGAATGAGAAGGTCGAGGATACGATACTAAATGTGGGCAATGGATCTGTTACGCCTACCTGTGTCCGTGGAGACAAGTCCTCATTTTCGTTTTTCAGCGAGATCGCAGCTTTCAATCACCCATGCCTTTACATACAGTGTACTTATCAGAGCCTCTTAGAGGGAGGGGTTTGTGATCAATGTACTTCAGGAGAGCGGAACTGCATTGTCAGTGCGCATGGACAGCCAAGGTTAACGGAAACCCGAAACACTGATTCTCAATAAAGGGCTTCCCTTACGATCAGAATATGTCTCGGTCGAATCTGGTCATTGACGAGGACTTTAAACATGATTTGATGGTCTTTTCACAGACTCCATGGAGGTATGCCAGCAGAAAGTGCTTTTGTAGAAAGCTGTGCATAAATATCAAGTTGTTGTAAAGCCGAAAGACCTGCACAAAAAACACTCAAGAAAAGAACGGTGAATAAATTCGCCACTTGGGTTTGAGCATTCAGGTGCACAAAGCTACCAGCTACAGCGGGCACAGAAAGGACTTTGATGTACAAGGTTAAGATGGCTGCTAAATCTCTCCTGGTATAGTGAGCCGTTCCGCTAGAAATGCAATTTGATGTTAAGTTAACTTCATGCACACGTGCATTTCACACGCGATGTTTGCAAGCAAAGTGGCCAAGCGCTGCGAAAAGGCAGCATAAACCGTAAAGGGCACCGATTGCCACCAGCAAGCACCGTAATTCTGGTCCAAAATGGACCCTTTGCTCTTCATTGGCTGCATTTCATCCGTAACATCTCTGACCATCGTGGGAGGTATAGGCACGCTGCCTTGGGAACGCTGAATGTCTAGAACTTGGCAGCTTTGCACAGGGGGGAATATAGCTTCAATGGTAGACCACACTACTTCATTCGCAGCAAGAATCCGTAGTAAATTGACCACGATCCATTCACAATCATACGCTGCGTCACCAACAGGGCAATGTTACTTCAAATTTACATCCGCTGCACCGATCGGGACTGAGTTAAGTAATGACGGTCTCGCCATTAACAAGTGTTCTTGGAACGTCCCCACGCCTCGGTCTTAGCCCATACGTAGCCGATTCTGGCATGTGACCTTGCCATCATGGAGATGGGGTTTCGTTCAGTCGCGGTTAGAACCTTCAACAGCTGAGTGAGCTGTGCCCGACCTTCTCACGCCTGCTGTCCCAATACACGTCTCACCGGCCCGCGGCCTCCCCACTGCAAACCGCCGACCGCATAAACACCCATCTGCCGCTCGCCACAAACGCCCGAGCCGTGACCCCGAGATTGCAGAGCCGACCTAGAGCAGCAAACTGCCCGGTAATCGGCCGACAAAACACCTCATCACGGCCGGCGAACCCCAGTCGGTACTCACCATCTCGTCGAGGCTCTTTAGGTCGTTGGTGACCACCTGCTGGCTGGGGCCGTACACACATGATAGCTGGCGGCTCGTGATCGCGTAGGCCTCCGTCTCCGCCCGCCTCGTCGCGCGCGATCTCCCGGTCGATCTGCTGCTCGAACTGCACAAGCATGGGCGCCGCCATGCCGAACTTTGGCCCCGCGTCGCGCGATCTCCAGCAGGCACAGGATCACGTGCTTCTCGTTCTTGCGCGATACCAGATCCTCGGTCTCGAACATGAGGCAGTCGAGCACGCCCAGCTCGTTGCACCAGCGGATGAAGTTGTGGATGTTGTCGCGCGAGAAGAAGGAGCCGGGACGCGCCTGCCGGTTGTAGTGTACCTCCCAGCCGGGCACCCGGAAGCCGGGTGAGAAGCGACGGCCGTGGCGCATGACGTGATCCGCCTCGAACTGCTCCGAGCACACGCGCACCTGATTGGCGTGCTGGGGACGGCCACGGGCCGGGTCAGCTGGTGCCGGGGCAGCGGACCTGTCTAGTCGGCGGCACGGGCCGGGCAGGGGCCAGGGCTTGCACAGCCCCGGGCGGCGGGGCTGAGGACTGCTACTCACACAACAGTGCGAAGAGGGAGGGCTTTCTGTTGGCAGGAATGCCTACGCGTGTGAAGTGCATTAGTCATGTATTGACCTGGTGGTGTCGGCGTAGTAACCTGGAATGCGTTTTTAACGAGAGGCCGACACACCTAGGTGTTTTTTTTTGCTGTTTGATCGATAGTGCTGTTTGCACTAATGTTTTGAGGATCAAGCCGTCGGCAGACATTGCTCTGCTGTGTCAGTGTGTGAGTGAACAGGGCCTGCAGGACATTGCAGCTACCGAGAAACACATACCACACAGTGGTGTGAGAAAGTTAGGGGCCTAAAGCACAGACTGGAAGAGTTTCTGTACAAACAGCTGCATCAGCTGCAGCTGTCGCACGTGTGACCAGCGTGAGAGCAGCTGTAGCAGTTACGAAACGCGATAAACATACAAACAAAAGGTACGCTTTACGTATGTGGGCTTCGTGCAAGTCCACGGACAAACAGCCAAGTAAACTTAACGGTACATTGAAACCCGTTCAACCCACGCTTAACGGTAAGTTGACACCTCCGGCTAGGTGTTGATGTTGAACGCTACGTACGTCGTCACACCCTTTTAAAGAGCACCAGCGACGGCCATATTGGCGCTCAGGGGTCCTGGCGCAACCGGGATTCGAGCCCGGACTCCTCACGTGGAAGTGCAACACACAAACCATTCGGCCATTACGTCCCCTTTACATCAAATTAGTACTCTGCCGAGAACGTATGGAGTATGATGTCAGGGATATATAGTGGAACTAACACGAAGGGAAGAAATTGCTGCAAATGCTACGCTGGAACTTGATTGAAATGCTCGGAAGCTAATCTATGCACAAGTAGATCATTGACGTTCGCCAAGAATGAAAACAAACATGAGCACGGACTAGACAAACTCACGTCACAGAATCAGCTGAGCGCAGAACGTGACAGTAACCACCAAACCCTGGCACCGGCATCCCAATCAGCATACGTACGTTGCAGAGGACGATACCAGTATCGAGCTTCTCCATGAACACCTCTGCCGTCATTTCCAGCTCGTAGAGCGTGTTGAGCCACTCAGCCAGGTCCTCCTTCATGGCGTACAGGTACTCCTCGGACGTCTTGAAGGGCCGGAACGGTCGGCTCTCCACGTGTCGCAGCCCCTCCGGTCCTCTGTCGCTCACCATCTCGGGCATGGTTGCACGCCCGGCCGCGTCACCGACTAACGCTTCCTGCCGTGTGTCACCGCTCACAGGCTGGCGGCCCACAACCTGGCGACGGTCGCAGCTCGCCGCCCAGCTCTCAGCTCGGCAACCGGTGGCAGCTCGCAGCTGGGCGTGCGGCGGCGGACGGGTCGCGCACGTGGCTGACGAGCGGTCTGACAGCGACGGCGGCGGCGGTGGGCGGCGGCGGTGGCGGGTCGGCGCGGATGGCCCCGTGGCAAGGCCGCGGCGAGGACGACCCTGAGCGGCGCGCGGCGGCGGCGGCGGCACTGGCGGACGGCGCGCTGCTCACTGACCCGTGCAGGCCTGACCGGAGCGTGCTCTGCGCGCAGGGGGCGCTGTCGGCCTCGAGAGGCGGCGGCCCCAGCCTGGAGCGGACCGAACGGACCGTCTAGTCCGGCCAGATCGACGCGGCGCGTGTCAGATACTCTTGTGCCTGGGCACACACTGGCTAGTTAGCGAATAAGGGGACGGAGAGTTGGGGGCGTGGCTGGGCGTTTCGCGGTCTGATGTCCGGCGATTTGTCTCTTGTATTACACTTGGACGTGCCCGCGCCAGAGTAAGGACCAGCGTTTACGTTGTCCTTGCCTTTGCACTGTGGCGAAGTCGCGTTCTCTCAGCTGAAACACTGTTCCGTGCCCGGCTTTTCTGTCACTTCCAGTGCGGCCTCCGCCAGTCGTCGTCACCCGGACTTAAGTCCTCCCTCGCGAGCCGCGCCCTGCCTCCACTCTTGGACCTCACACGGCCGTCACCGCGGGAGCGCTGCCCCAGCCGTGGCCATACACTCGGAGCACCTACCCAGCCGTGACCAGCATCCAGCGCACACTGGCCCGGAGCCGCCTGGACGCCGCCTCGTCCTGCCGGGCGCCGGGCAGGGCCGGTTCTCGTCGGCGGCAGGCATTAGGGATGCCGGGGCGCGACCCGCGCTCCCGAGCTCCGCGCCGCACTGCTTAAAAGGAAGTCGGCCGCCAGTGCTGGTCGGATGCCGGGAAAACAAGCGGCATGCCGCAGATGCCCATTGCAAATCGCCACTACGGAAAGCACGGGTTGTCATGAAGCTGTTTATGGTGTGCCGTTTGGTGAGGCTTCTCGCCTACAAAAATCGCCTGCGAAATTAAGCGCAAGAGATAGATGTCGAACAGCCAGACGGGTTTCCAGTGACCTGTAATTTAGAGTGCGCCAGTGGAATGGCACTTTACCGACTGGTCCCGTACCTCTGCCTGTATCTCCACCAGTGTCTGGACTGCCGTTACATGTAACTAGTGGTAGAATCCGGTCAGGTCATACTGCCAGTCATTTCGCCTGAAGCGCGCCCCACTCCCAGCAGCCTTGGCTCGTGTTTCCGGTACCATTTATGCTGCGAAGTCACGTGTCTGCGGCTGCAGTGGCGTTCTGGAACGACACTGGCACCGGCCGGATGGGCTGCCAGATCTGGTGGCCTCCAGGCCAGCCCGGCTCTCTCCCCATGACCCCGCGACCCGGCTCCCAGTGACACGGGCTCCAAGGAGCTGCGCCGGTCCCTTCCGGGTCTATCATGCACCAACCGGTCACCGCCTGGTTATCATGGTTGGCGCACCGCCATCTGAGCCAACACCATATATGGCCGTCAACTGTAAGGCCGTCGGAGCTCCCTGGCCGATATTCAAGACTATCCCGAACTGCATCGCCATCTGTTTCAGCAAAACTCTCCCGGGCCACTCAAAGATCTGTAAGTTCTTGCTCAGGTGACCCGCGCCCAAAAGTGTGACTCATGAGTCAGCCCAGGACCAGCGGTTCAGCTACAGCGAGCGACGTTCTGGCGCCAGAGCCCCACAACCGGTTTGGCAGTCAGCGACGACCGGGAGGCGACGACTTATATGGCGTTGGCCATGCCGGGCGGTACCTCACAGCGCTCGGCACGTGTTGTCCGTTCAGGGGCCGTGTATTTATGGAAAAGCTTCCCCAACAGCGGGTTTCCTCGAAGTTTGGCCGGCTGACTTTTATTGAACCTCGAAAGGCTGATATTAACACTGAAGACAGCACCCGGGCCAATGGGCGAACGGCTAGTCTGGTTGGACGTTGCGGTGTTGTCGATAATGCATAATGGTCCAAGTGCTTCCACGCAGTAAGCTTCCAGTTCGTCCCAGCTGACAAGGCCAGGGAAATGACGGATGGACAGCGTGGCAACGACCGGGAGGCGACGACCGGGAGGCGACGACTTATATGGCGTTGGCCATGCCGGGCGGTACCTCACAGCGCTCGGCACGTGTTGTCCGTTCAGGGGCCGTGTATTTATGGAAAAGCTTTCCCAACAGCGGGTTTCCTCGAAGTTTGGCCGGCTGACTTTTATTGAACCTCGAAAGGCTGATATTAACACTGAAGACAGCACCCGGGCCAATGGGCGAACGGCTAGTCTGGTTGAACGTTGCGGTGTTGTCGATAATGCATAATGGTCCAAATGCTTCCACGCAGTAAGCTTCCAGTTCGTCCCAGCTGACAAGGCCAGGGAAATGACGGATGGACAGCGTGGCAATATCTCCGCACAGTCAGCACGGCGCGCTGTCCAGCACCCGCATGCGCTATCTTAGATGCGTCGCAAAAAGATGCCGCACAAATCACAGCGAGTGCCTGTTTACGATCTCCGGCACTTATGACAAATTCAATTAACCCCTCGCATTACCGGCGGCACGAAACGCAGCGTGTCGGCACGCGACCGCGACCCCGTCCCAGGCTGGGATCACGTCGGCCGGCGCGGTGGCGCGACTCTCCCACGCTGGCGGGGCCGAAGCCTTGGCCCGCGCCGGCCGCCACCAGAAGACGTGCCGCGAACGCTAACGTCGCTCGACGCAATCGGTGCCGAAGCCGTGCTATCGCCGCGCCCACAGCCGCGCCTTGTATGAATACAAGGCGCCAGTTGGCCCTCGGATGATGCCGGTTTTTCGTCGGCCATCTTTGGTGCGGTCTGACTTCCAGTCCCTTACAGGGTCTTGCATTGGTATGCAGGACATTGTCAGCCCGGCGGCCGTCTCAGGTGAAGTTCTAGACCCTTGGCTTCTGATGTGTTATTTCGTTTGCCTCTGAGACATGCACGGCGGATGTACGGTCACGTGGACAGTGAACGAACGCGACCTGAAAAAGCCAGTACATCCGGCATGTTTGCGGCATTCTTGACCGAACGCAGCATTTCACAATTCCAGAATGCCTGCTGACCTGAATGATTAAACTGCTACATGGGACGTGAGAGTTGTAGTTTTAAGACAATAGCTCAACGGACACCGCTCTTTCAGCCTTCGAGTCCGTGCGGTTAGGGCGCGCGCGTCCACCCGGTACAGGTCTCAGCAGGGCGGGGACGCAGATTATCCAGTCCGGTTAGGGGGCGCGTCCGCTCGGTGCAGGTCTCCGTTCAGCCATTACAGAGTGGGGACGCAAACTATCCAGTCCGGTTAGGGGGCGCGTCCGCTCGGTGCAGGTCTCAGCAGGGCGGGACGCAAACTATCCAGTCCGGTTAGAGGGCGCGTCCGCTCGGTGCAGGTCTCCGTTCAGCCATTACAGAGTGGGGACGCAAACTATCCAGTCCGATTATGGGAGAGGTGGGAAGGGGGCGCGTCCCCTCGGTGCAGGTCTCCGTCCAGCCATCCCAGGGCGGGGACGCAGATTATCCAGTCCGGCTAGGAAGCGGGTCCGCTCGGTGCAGGTCTCCGTTCAGCCATCGCAAGGCGGTGACGCAAACCATCCAGTCCGTTTTCGCACACCCACCAGTCAGACCAGGAGCGTAACCGTATATTCACCGCCATGACGTTCGCGACATGTGACACATCACAGGGCAAGCTGGCAGTGCCGGAGCCTTACAAGGAGGGCTCGCGCCGCCGCCCGTTCTCTGCAGACCTGTTAGACAGCGGGCGCATCGGAAAAGTCCGGGCACGTGACATCCGGTGATGGAAAATATTAAGGCAAGTAACACACAAGTGTGAGGCGTCCAGGAAGAGCACAGCGACCATTCAAGTGTAAAAACATGCTGATATGAATGCATGCATACTGAATGACGCATAGAGTAAGTCCATAAGATCACTCATTATGGAGGATGTATGACAATCGTAAAAGATGCCATCCTTCGACGAGCTGGAAAGCCAAATAACATATACACACAATGCAAACGGTGTTACAAACTGCTATACATAAAAATTAGCAGCAAATTAATATAGGGCAAACTATCACCACGGGCCACACCCTTATTGCTCCCGTGTTGCTTCTGCTGCCAACACAACATACCGCCAAGCAGCATAAAAATACACACAGGCGAAAACATGCAGCAAAATGTGCTGGTTACCTAGACACGCATATGCCCAAATACGCCGAATGAGATCTCTCATGAGTAGAGACGGCGAAACCCAAATTATGCAATCAGTGAAATCGTAGTTAACACCTTTCATTATCCATGTCTAAGGCGATGTCAAAACAAAGCAGTATGGAGTGGAAACTCCAGCTTTCTCAAAAACTATCACGCTTCTGCTACCGGCTTGAGGCCAGTTTTCCGGTTTCCGGCCGATTTTCCGGTTTTCTGGCCGGTTTTTTAGATAATCGTTGGGGTTTCGGTCTGGTCGCACTGAATGAAAATACTGACGATTGCAGAGCCTGTCCTAATAAAAACATTCAAAACTAAAAAAAAAATAGCTTACTAAAAGGTTGGACAATCCTTGTAAGCATAGGCATAGCCAGCAAGACGCGTTTACTAATGTTCTGTCAGTGATCAGATTTTTCTAAAAAGTTCGATACAAATAACTATCGGTTTACGCTATCACCGAGTTGTTTCTGGCGTCCTAAAAAAAGGAGGTTGTTCGGTTATGGGATTTTTCTAGAAAAAAGGCAGTACCAATCATTGGTTCACTACCTCAGCCAACATGCACAAGTGCGAGTGCGTCTTTTTTTGCTTCGCCTGACGGCTAACGTGACACCCACAGTGCGTGGCGCAGACCGAATCTCGCCCAGGAGGAACCCTTTCAACGAAGGAAACCTTGCAGCCCTCTTCGTCGCCATCGGAACTTTGTTTTTAGACTCGCATCACTTTTTTAGGCTCGGGATATAGCTTCGATAGCTCGGGGTACA